CTATTTTTTATCAATATAACTGTGAATAACAATGTGAATAACATTAAACAGCTAGCTGAAAATATGGAATTAAGCATCATTGAAAAAATCATATTTATAATTCTATATGATTAATTGTTTTTGTGTATATATAAAAAAAAGGCACCTTATTTAAGGTGCCTTTTTTATGGATTCAGAGAGATTTTTCACCTGCAACAACTTCTTTTTTTGTTGTTGTTTGATTAATCAATGAGTCTGGTTTTTCGCCGCATGTTTTAGACAATAAATCTTCTACTACAGTTGCAGTACTTGCTGTCATTGAATTAAACCCTCCATTCAAAGCAGCTGCACGCGCAGCTCTACCCGCAGCAATTTCTTTAGCGGTTGCCCGTCGAACCACAAATCTTTCTTCTTCAGATTCTTCATTTTGCTGTGGTTGAGAAGCAGTGGGATATCTTGCAACGCTATCTACAATTACCCAGTCACTTGATAATAATCCAAGTTTTGCTTTGATACTTTCCATGTCATTAGCAGGGCAAAGAATCTCACCTTTTTCCATGCCATTCTCCATTTCCACTATTGAATTTATGGTTACGTTATATCCAACGAGGGTACCAGTAATGCGATATTCTTTTTTTCCGCACTGTATAAAGAGAAGATGCTCTGCCTTATTCGCAGGATTCAGATAACCTTTACACATTGCAAGATGCGTACTTGCTATACTAAATACCAAGTTATTATTATCAAATATAAGGCGATTTACATTACACGGAATAATATTTGCTTGTGGAGCTTCTGCTTCTTTTCTTTGATTAACTAAAGCAAAAGCCTGAAAGAAATCTTTGCCTGCGCTAGGTTTCATCGTCGTAGACAAGCTATCGTTTGTAATAGTTGTATCAGAGTCATATTCAGAGTCTCTTGTCGATTGAGCATCAGTGAAACTAAGTGTTTCTGAAGCATCAGTTGAACCAAGTGTTGATTGAGCATCAGAGTATACGCTTACAGTACTTGCTGTCATTGAATCAGACGTTGTATCTGCCTCTGGCCCTCCGTTTTGCTGTGGTTGAGGAGGGCATTGCACTACGCGAAGGGATTTGCCGCTGTATGTTGTACTAATACTTTCTATAAATATTACTTTTCCTGGTTCCAGGAGTTTTTTCACATCTTCTACAATATTCTGAGACTCATATAGCACACCATTTTCGATTTTTACTATTGAAGTTACAGGCACACTATAGTTGTCGCTATTTTCATAATAGATATAATCTCCAGTTACAGTAAAGCGATGTTCAACTTCACCACTCTTGATATACAGACATGTAGAACCCTTGAGCTCTTGATATCTTTCACTTGTCATACTTAATACCAAGTTATCATTCTCATCTATAAAGTAACAAATATCAGGCAAAAGAGTGTGATCTCCTGCTCCTTGAGCCTTAGGTTGCTCTGGCGTTGTAGTTTGATTTACAACAGGTTCATTGACTTTAGGTTGTTGCCCTGGCGTTGTAGTTTGATCTACAACCGGTGCATTATTTTGTTCTGTAGGTTGTTCCTTCTTTGGTTGCTCTGGCGCTACAGTTTGAGCTACTGATTGTTCACTAGATACCTTTACTGCAACCTTTCTTTGTAGTGCTGTTTCTACCATATTGAGGATGCTGCCGTTGTGTATATATTCACCACGATCATTTTTCTTGGATATTGCTGTAACGCCTATCCCATGAGAGAGTTGTACATTACCAGCTTTGTGAATGGAAAAACGGACCTCTGTACCTTCATTTACACTGTTATTCCTTTCTATTATCAAGTCTATATCTATTCTACAATTTTCACTATCAGGACTACCAATAATGCACAACTCTTTTTCATCATGCTTGATATACATACGAAATTTATTTCTGCCATACTCTTTATTAAAAAATACACTATTAGAATTATGATAATTTTTACATTCTTCAAAATTTTCCTTTGTTAAATTTAAGTACAAACGTTTATCCTTAACTTCAAGAAAGTTATCAACTCCATGAACGGGAGTTTGTAATGGTTCTGTGTGTTGTTTTGCGGGTTCTGACTGCTTTGGAACAGAATTTTCAGTAGCATCTGTTTTACTACTAAATAACCATTTCCAACCTGATGAAAGTTTTCCTAAAACCCATGAAATTCCTGTATGATCAGCAACCCATTTTAAAGCTTCTTTTAACATATTATCTCCCGCTATTAATAAAAAATTAAATATGGCGTTAGTATATCATGCCAATTTTTACTTGTCAAATTTCTTTTTTTAGAGGAGAATCGCAGAGCTCATTATCATGGAGCGTGTATTTTTAGCATCTTGATTGCATTAGTGTTAATGACTTCCCCGCCGACACGTTTTGTGATAAAGAACCGCACATATGGCTTATTTGTATAGGGATCACGCAATATTGTCATTCCTTTACTATCTACTATTTTATAAGCTTGTTTGAAATCAGCAACAGCAATTATCGGTAAATAAGTTGCATCTTTTATTTGTTCTTCATTTGGTGGCGTTGGCATATGAGAAGATTGATATACCGGCACTCCCATTAAGGTATCTGGAACATTGAGTGATAAACTTGGTTGCCAGAGGTATTGACCAGTTGAATTTGATTTTAACAATCGAATACTCTTTAACGTGCTTCTATTCATGAGAAACGATGCATTTTTTGCATAATACTCATTTAGAGAATAATATAATGTCGTTATGGCATCACTATCTAATTGTTTATTTGTCAATGGCTCTACCTCATCATCATTATAAGCCAAAATTCCTTTAGGCTGAAAGTTACCGTTACCCTTAATGAAGGCTTCATTTTCTTTTGTGCCAAAAGTTTCAGCAACTTTTTCTATCAACCAACTTTCAACATCAACAAATGCATCATCGAGCAATCTCTGTGATATTTGTGGTTGGGCATATAATTCATAAGTCATTATGGAGATTTTTTTGACTTGAGGTGTTGTCGTATCTTGCGTGAAATCATATTTAGATACGTTTTTGCTACCTGACTTTATTGTTTCTCCTGACCAACCAGCTTCAGCGTGGTCACCACCTTCTATACCCCAACTATGGATTAACCAACGCAGTAAAACTG